GGCCTTCACCACTCTCAAAGATCACCTCACCCACGCCCCCACCCTCGCTTTCCCCGATTTTACCACCGATTTTATTTTGGACACCGACGCCTGCAGCAGCGGGCTGGGCGCGGTGTTGTCACAGGTACAGGATGGGACGGAACGAGTCATCGCGTACGCCAGCCGGACCTTGAGTGGGGCCGAGCTGAACTATTGCGTGACCCGGCAAAGAGTTGTACGCCGTGATTTTCGCATGCAAACAGTTCCGGCCGTATTTGTACGGCAGGAGATGTCGCGTACGCACTGACCATTATGCTCTGCAGTTTCTTCTTACATTCAAGGAGCCGCGGGGGCAGATGGCCCGGTGGTTGGCGCAGTTGCAGGAGTACAACCTGCAAATCGAGTATCGGGCTGGCCGGACGCATGCAAACGCGGACGCCTTGTCGAGGCGACCCACGGTGTACGCCGAGACGAGGGCGGAGGAGGCCTGCCCGTGTTTCACGGGGGGACGCTGCCAGCAGGCAACGGACCCCCGAGAGGCCGCGGCCACTGACCCCCCCCCCAGCGAGAGAGAGTGCAGTGTGCGCCACAGAGACCCTCACAGGTGGCACTGAGGATCCCGTCGACCGCCCGGCAAGCGCGGGACCCGCGGCTCGGGACCCGATCGGACGGATCCAGGAGGACGTCGGCTGCGCCTTCCCGGGCCTAAACGATGAGCAGCTGAGACAGACCCAGCAGCGAGATCCGGATCTGGCGGCAGTGGAGGCGGCACTGCGGGAGGAAAAGAGCGCCCTACCAGGACCCTGGAGCGGTTTGTATGCCCGGTTGTGTGTAGAAAACGGGGTGGTGAGGGAACTGGCCGACGCTGGGCAGCCGGGGTGCATCTTCGTTCCCGCCCATGTGCGACCCCAACTACTACGACTGGTACACGACCACCCGCTCGGGGGCCATGATGGCGCACCCGGGAGACTCTGCGTCGCCAGTATCTCTGGCCTAAATTGGCGCAAGATGTGGCCGCCTGGGTGCAGGGCTGCCGGGCCTGTCAGCAGTGTGGGCAAAAGCCGGTGATGTACCAGGTACCCCTGAGGCCGTTCCGAGTCAGTCAGACGAATCAGTTGGTCGGAATCGACCTGCAGGGGCCCTTTCCACGATCCCACCGGGGCAACCGATATATTCTCGTAGCGGTGGAGTACTTCACCTGCTACCCCGTGGCGGTGGCTATCCTGGATAAAACAGCCCTCGTAGTGGCCCGGGCCTTCGTGGAAAACTACGTACTTAAGTGCGGGATCCCCGAACGAGTCATTACCGACCAGGGTAGTGAATTCGAGGCCGAACTATTCCAGGCGCTGTACCGAGAGTTCGGGATCCAGAAGGACCGAACCACGGCGTATCACCCCCAGGCAAACGGGATGGTAGAGAGGATGAACCAGACTCTGGCCGGGAAGCTTAAACGCATGGCGGCCGCGAATCAACAGGACTGGGACGAACACCTCCCCTATGCCCTGTTCGCCTACACCACCGCCGTTCACACATCTACAGGACAGACCCCGTTCCTAATGATGTTTGGTCGCGAGTCTCGCCTGCCCGCAGATCTGCTGTTCGGTGTCCCTCCGCCGCAATGGGAGGAAGGGAGCCACCCCGTGGAGCACTTGCTGGAGACCCTGCGAGGGGCCAGGGGCCGAGCCTACCCGCACGGAGAGGCCGCGCACCAGCGGCAAGAGCAGGGCGCCCGACCCCGTATGGAGCCCCCCTTCTACACTGCGGGCTCCGAGGTGTGGCTGTACACTCCCCGCGTCGGTGCCGGACAGGTGGGGAAGCTGACCACCTACTGGCGAGGACCCTGGATTGTGAGACGGCAGATCTCACCATGGACGGTGCTGATTCAGGGAGGAGAGAGGGGCCGGGAGATGGTGGTCAACATCCGCCGACTGAAGCCGTGGCGAGCAGCCCCCGAGGGGGGGAGCCCCGCCGTCCAAGTACCCCGAAACCTCGGGGTCCCCCCACCCCCCGTGCCCGGGGGCCTCGCGCAGTATATGGGCCCCACGGAGCCCCGGGCTCCGAGGGGCCCCGGGCGGGGCCGGGGGCGACGAGGACGGCGACCCTTAAACCCCACCGCCTCTGAGTTTGTTCCCCAGCCCGCAGGTGCCAGAGGCCGAGGGGAGCCGTTGGAATGGAGGAGGAGACCACCGCCTGAGCCCCAGGAGATGGAGCCGCCACCCCCGAGGCCAGCCACAAGGGCCGGGCGAATCCCGCGGACCCCGCGGCGATACCTCGTGGGGGCAACCCAGGCGAGGTGCTCCAGTCAACCCGGGACGGGGACTGGCACCCCGGGGGGCTATGTGGTGCCACAATGATGGGGCCGCTCTGCCGAGCCAGGGAGCCGCCCAGCTTCCACCACTGCACTGCCCCCCATCACCCCCCCCACATAAGCACGCACCCGCACCCACGTAGGGCCTTGTGGTCGGGTCACCTACCCTGAGTTTTCACCCGAGGGCCCCCTCGGGGGGTTACCCCACGGTTTCTCAGGGCCAGGGAATTGGACAGGACCCTTCCCAGGCCAAGTAACACTGCGGCGCCGTGGGCGGATTTGAGATCGCACGACCACGGCGAGCTCAGAGAGCCCCGCAGTTAGAAACGCATACAAACACAAACACGGGTCAGCAAGGCAGATAGCTGGGATCAGGACCCGGGGCTACTGATTGGTCGAAAGGTCAAAAGCCGGCGGGATAGCAAAAGGGCGGGAAATCCTAGGCTCAGGATTGGTCGAGAGACCAAGGCGGTCGGGACGGGGGCGCCTAGCCTTTGATATGAATAGTAGAAAAGACGGAGGGCAGAGTAGGGGAGTCGTTCTTCTTCTGGAGTTTTGACACGGAGTCAGCGACGAGGGAGTCATCGGGCGAGCCGCTAGATTGTGTGCAGGACGATCTGAGCGCCGCAAGGTCACCAAGGACTACAGACGGTATCGTATTACGCGCCTTACAACACCTCAGAGCGGAGAGTAGGATCCGTAGGAGAGGGTTAGTTCGGGGTAAGGACGAGTAGGAAAGCGGTTTAACAGAGAGCGCAGCATAGAATAGGGCTGCACGCCACTAGAGAGTGGGTTAGAAGCGCCTTGCTGGCCCACACACACACACGGGTGGCTCGGTGGGTTAACAAGGGCTAATAAAATCTCGAGCGTAGTAACAAAACCGTGTTGTTGGGTGTTTTTGAACGTGGTATTAGCGTGCACTGCATTCGCGGGTGTGTGGTCGTTGTATGCGTAAAGGCCGTGGTCTCTGTACAATTGTGCGGGTACGGAGGTGTGTGTGTTAACGCCCGGGGAGAGCACTTTTGTGTGTTGGCGTGCCTACGCAGCCGTGTGAGAGGAGAATCGTCCTTGCACGATACTTGTGTTGACGTGCACGCGCGAGTGCGGGAGGGGACGAGTCGTCGTGTCGGCGTGCGCCCCGCTCGCGTGTGCGAAACCGCGGTGCGCAGTGAAGCTGTTAGCTTTGTGCGAGCTTGCGTGTGCTCGAGCGCGTAATCGGCTGCGCATTGTTGTACGGTTTGTCTCGCGCGCACGGCGGCGGCAACTTGAGTCGTTGTGTCGGCGTGTGCCCCGCTTGCGTGTGCTCGTTACTTGCGTAAGCTCTCGGCGTGCGTAATCGGCGTACCCCAGGTGCGCGATCGTAACGTGAGCGGCCAGCGTGGCGCAGAGCGGCGCAAGAGTGGGTATCGCGTGTGGAGCTGTATGTGTGTGCGCGCACGTTCACGACGTGTGTGATACAGGTGCGCGATCCTAACGTGAGTGGTCAGTGTTGAGTGAGTGCCGTGCAGAGCTGTGTGTGGGTGTGCGCGTACGTAATTAACCATGCCTGCTACGCGGACCCGCGGTGGAGGGGAATCCTCGGGCGACGGCTCCCACACCATGGGTGAGGAACCTAGCAGCGGTTCGCTTAGCAGCGGGGGGGCGATTGATGATGTTAGCCCGGCCGTTAGCATTATTGAGGGAGGGATCTCGGGGGCTAGCGACCCCCACAGGTGTGTTAACTATTAGCTGATCGTGAAAAGCATTGTTCTGTCTCTCGAGTTGCATGAATATGGTAACCAATGAATGCATTCATGTCACACTAAACATGTATATACATCTGTTAACCAAACCTACACACTCGTATGTACACTATTGTTTCATCCATTGGCCAAACCTACACACTTGCATGAACACTATTGTTTCGGGATATTTCTTTTAATTCCATAATCTTACCAATGAATTAATTGATGACACACTAAATATTTATAATCATCTATGTTACGAATCGACACACTCACATGACTACTATTGTTTTGAGATATTACATTTAATCACAATTTTTCCTGCAAATTAATTGATGTCCTACTTGTCAATTGATAAGCATCTATTAGCCAAACTTACACACTCGCATGTACACTTGTTTCGGGACATTTCTTTAATTGAATAATCTTTACAATGAATTCATTGCCGTAACTAAACATAAGCATCTATGTTACGAATCTACACACTCGCATGAATACTATTCTTGATTTGAAGTTTTCATGACTGCAGGAATCCATACTCTTTGGTTCTTTCGATAAAGTCACGTAGGTAGAAAAATAAAATGAAAATATAGTGCTAATCTCCTATTAACACCGCATATGCGCACAACAGCAGAGTCGGTGCTCTTGTGCGGCGACGGAAGCTCATTTCATGCTAATCTCTCTCCCTAATCTCCCCCATTAACACAACTGACGTGCTTGTGATTCGGTGATATCATGATTGATAATATATGCCCATAAACAACGTAAGCCAATAATAATAACTCGTGATAACTTTACAAATAACTTCCTAATTACATATACATTTATCATTAATATATTTTTTTATGAAAAAATTACTAATCTTGTTCGTTCGTTTGTTTCTCAATCTGCTTGTCCTAGTGAGAGTCGCGGCGGCAGCATTTTAAGGAGGGCGGTCCAGACCTCCCTTACCTTGGCAACAGACTCTGGTTCTTCCTAGGGAGTTCCCAGGCCTGCCGGGCAATATCGCCCTGCCAGCGTGTCCTGAGCTGGCCCCGGGGTCTTCGTCCAGTGGGATGTGCTCAGTAGAGTTCCAGGGGGAGTCTACGGGGTGAAACCTTACCAGGTATCTGAACCACCTCAACTGGCTCCTCTCGATCTAGAGGAGCAGCGGCTCGACGGTGGCTCTCCCGGATTACCGAGCTCCTCACCCCATCACAGTGAGCCCGGCAACCCTGTGGAGAAACCTTAATTCGGCCCCTTATACCCGCAATCTCATCCTTTCGGTCATTACCCAAATTTCATGACCATAGGTGAGGGGGGGAATGTAGATCGACCTGTAAACTGCAAGCTTTGTTCGAGAAATCAGCGTCTGCTTCACTGATGCCGCATCAATCCGCCGGCCAATCTCCCGCTCCCACTTACCATCACTTGCCAAAGAGATCCCCTCACCTAGAGAGAACAATCCACCATCTGCCGGGAGTAAACCATGACCTCAGATTTGGAGGTGCTGATTCTCATCTCAGCCGCTTCACACTCGGCATCAAACCATTCAAGTGCATGCTGGAGATCACAGATTGACGAGGTAAAGAGGACAACGTCATCTGCCAAAAGCAGCGACACCTCCATGCCCCATACTGGATACTCTCCATACCTCGGCTGCGCCTTGATATCCTGTCCATGAAAATCACAAACAGGAGTGGAGACAATACCAACAGTGAACGACTTTGATTTATCACCAAGAATACGGACACAGCTCTCACTCCAGGAAAAGGGATCAGTGACACCAGTACATCATACTCTCGCAGTACCTGCAACAAGACATTGTGAGGAATACGGTCATATGCTTTTTCCAAGTATACAAAGCAGAGGTAGACTGGAGAAGCATACTCCGATGACCCCTCATATCTGTGAGAGGGAAAAGAGCTGGTCCATTGTTCCATGACCATGACGAAATTCACATTGTTCCTCCTGCATCTGAGGCTCAACCACCAGGCAGAGCCTCCTATCCAGCACTCTGGCATAAGCATTATCTGGGATGCGGAAGAGTGCAATTCCTCTGTAGTTAGAGCACACCCTCTGGTCCCCTTGTTAAAAAAATGGGAACCACGACCCCAGTTTGCCAATCCAGAGGTACTGTACCTGCCTTCCATGCAATATTGAAGAGGCGTGTTAACCACGACACTTCAACACTGTCCAGCACTCTCAACAACTCTGGCCGAATCTTGTCCACCTCAGCGGCTCCTCAGTGTTCCTTCCACCTCTCGACTACCCTTACTGACAGCCTGGGTCACGTCCCGTTGACCCCTCCCTAAGGTGTCGGATGGTTTGCCACAAAATCTTTGAGGCTGCCCAATAGTCCCTCACCATGGCCTCTCCAAACTCCTGGCATGCTCGGGTTTTCACTTCAGCGACTGCTGTAGCTGCCGCCCTCTTGGCAAGCCAGTACCTCTCAATCCTTTTACGGAGCATAGCTCTGAATGCCTCCTTCAACTTGACAGCTTCCCTCACCACTTGCGTCCACCGGCGGATTCTAGGGTTGCTGCCATGACAGGCACCAACTGCCGTCAAGCCACAGTTTGTCGCAGCTGCAATCAGAATCGAGGTCGTGGACAATGGGGAGGTCGGTGGACTCAATGTCCACGACCTCCCCGGGAGTGCAGGAGACATTTTCCAGAAGGTGGAAGTTGAAATCTTTCTTCACTGGGTCTTCTGCCAGCCGTTCCCAGAAAACCCGCACTATTCGTTTGGGCCTTCCACGTCTATCTGGTCGGTGACACAAACGTAAGATTCAACTTACCCCTCTTACAATTCAGTGGGCTCACATGACATTGACTTCTCCAAGACAGAGGTTCTCTGCAAGCCATCTGGCTACCATGAGAGATTCGTTCATGAGGCGATCCACATATACAAACACAGAGACAATTTTAACGGAGAAGATGGATTCTGGCTCAGCAATCATTGGAAGGACGTAATAAACCATTTCGGATCTTAACTGATTGTGTTCACGTTTACGGTGACTTTCAGACCGCAGTCTACTCACTGGCATGGACTATATATCTTTTATTCTCTGCAGGGAATGGATTCTTTGCTCTGCTGCAAGTCTCCCACCACCACTCTCCCATTGACATATTTCATTGCTTCCTCTTAGTACCTTTCACGCGACGGTCAATGGTATAGTGTATAGCAGATTGTATAATAATAAATAGTATAAAAGTGTAATGTTTAATATAATGTATAAGGTAATATACAGTATCGTAATTGTATAGTGAATATACAGCAGTGTGGTATATAGTAGGGTGGGTAGAATAATACATAGTGTAATATTACAATGTATAGTCTAAGGGTGTTGTATAGTAATACAGTATACAATTTAATGTTTAACACGTAGGCTTTCGCGACCAATATTATTCATAATCAACGTTTTTGGGTTTAGATCGCGTTATTTATAAATGTGTCGTAACCCTCCACCACCCGACACGGCCAATCAGTAAAAAAGTGTCACGTTGACAAAGGACAATTAGTTCACTGCTTTAGCCCACCGGTGTGTTGAAGCGTGAAACCACAACATTTACAATTTGAGTACGACGTTTTGCTGGTAATTGCATCCAGCATCATCGGGCAATTCGCCAGAATGGTTAGGCTCTGCTCTGTCTCCCGTTCTTATATAGAGCAGCAGCAGGGTGACGTCATCATTAACTCATTAACTCATCAGGTGCAAAGATTTGAGGGGGGGTTATTGTAATTATATAAACGTCGTACTCAATTCATTCTAGATTTGAAGCTTTCGTGACTGCAAGGATTCATATTCTTAGGTTTTTTCGGTAAAGTCACGTAGGTAAAACATCAAAATTAATAAAAATAAAATAAAATAAAGATCACGACGTTTCAGAGACAACACAAGTCTCCGTCATCAGGTGGGACCGTCACAGCCAGATTAGCTGCATCAAGTGAGGCAATGATTCAAGATGTAATCCCTTAAAAGCGAGTTGAGGGGGGAGGAGAGGGGGGGAGGGGGAGCTCATCAGAATGTGGTAGCCAATGAATGGAACGTATCGGGAGGGAGGTGGGCGGGGCTAAAAGGGTGGGCGACGGCGTGGAAGCGATTGTGCGCAAGAGACAAACTGCTGCACACGCCAACGCATTGGACAGAGAGGGGGGGAGGGGGAGGCCTGATACACATGATACAAAAGAACGGAACTGCCATTGTTTATACCAATGCTGGCTGAACAATGAAGAGATTACTGTTAAACACTCGGTAAAGTAAAGTAAAATAGTGCCTGTCAGATAAGATGGTCCAAAAAAGTGTAATTAAGTCTTATTAACCACGCAAAAGTCTTATTAACCACGCAAAAAAGACTTAATTACACTTTTTTGGACCATCTTATCTGACAGGCACTATTTTACTTTACTTTACCGAGTGTTTAACAGTAATCTCTTCATTGTTCAGCCAGCATTGGTATTAACAATGGCAGTTCCGTTCTTTTGTATCATGTGTATCAGGCCTCCCCCTCCCCCCTCTCTGTCCAATGCGTTGGCGTGTGCAGCAGTTTGTCTCTTGCGCACAATCGCTTCCACGCCGTCGCCCACCCTTTTAGCCCCGCCCACCTCCCTCCCGATACGTTCCATTCATTGGCTACCACATTCTGATGAGCTCCCCCCCCCTCTCCTCCCCCCTCAACTCGCTTTTAAGGGATTACATCTTGAATCATTGCCTCACTTGATGCAGCTAATCTGGCTGTGACGGTCCCACCTGATGACGGAGACTTGTGTTGCCTCCGAAACGTCGTGATCTTTATTTTATTTTTATTAATTTTGATGTTATACCTACGTGACTTTACCGAAAAAACCTAAGAATACGTCGTACTCAAATTGTAAATGTTGTGGTTTCACGCTTCAACACACCGGTGGGCTAAAGCAGTGAACTAATTGTCCTTTGTCAACGTGACACTTTTTTACTGATTGGCCGTGTCGGGTGGTGGAGGGTTACGACACATTTATAAATAACGCGATCTAAACCCAAAAACGTTGATTATGAATACAATTTAATGTTGGGTTTGTCTATGGTAGTATATAGTACGGGGTAGACCCGTGTGATGTAAGAGAAAAAAGTTTAGCTGGAGGCATATTATATTTTTTGCGACATAGAATTGTAATGTATGACTTACTGTTAGTAGCTCAGCTTATTGGAGAGTATATTTAGTATACTGATGAAGTTTATACTCCCTCTCTTTGCTGCTAATCCTGCATAATGCACGGGCATAATGACTTTGAAACCCCCCGCCCTCCTCCTACGCATTACAAGTAGTGACTAATCCCATATCTGCATTTCCCATAAATATGCTAAATTACTCTTGATATGCAAATTACTTTGTCAAGGCGCTCTTCCCCCTCCAACCCAGCTTAAATATACGCTGCCAAGCCTGGTGGTGTTCATTCAGACGCTGTCTTTCCGACAGACCTGTTCTTCACCTGAGGACGGCTGCTTGCGTTGTGGTCAAAACGTCGTGAGAATTATTTTATTATGTTTTATTTTTATTATTTTATTATTTCCCTTCTACTTGACTTTACCGGGAAAAAACAAGATGACTCCCTGCAGCCACGAAAGCTTTAAATCGAAGTTTTAAGGTAAAGATGATTCGCCGATTAACTGCAGAAACATACTGCAGATTCCAGAACAGGTGAAGCACTTTTTTTGAATTGCACTTTTATTAACGGTCATATAGTAAAGATAAGTAAGCCTGGTTCCCTTACTAGCAACGTGTAGACAGGTTAGGAGATAACCCTCAAGCAGGTACTAGTCAATGATTTCCTTTCCAAAGGCAAATGTGGAAAAACATGTGGACATGTAAGTAATTTACCATGTTTAGACAGTGTGAGCTCACCTGCGATTAATCATATGTATAAATGTGCACTCTGCTAATAGCTACAGGCAACCAGGTGCATTGTTTATTTCAAATGAATGCAATGGTGACCAAAAATAGGTTCCCAAGCCCCACGTGTGCTGGAGACTACGGGGAATGCCCCCAATTTAGATTTTGGCGGACTTCCTTAGGATAGATTGAGCTGCGGTGTTGTAAGAGGGGGTGTCTGGTCGCTGTTGCAGATACGCAACTGCCCTTCTGGAGAATACTTTGAAATAAAGTTTAGCTGTTCCACAAACCCCTGGGGCTCGGCTGTTGTGGAGTCGCCCACTTCTCGAGGACAGAACACAACGCAGAGTGTCGACTCATCGTCTCTGAACTTTATTATTTGTATCACTCTTTAGGATCCGCATGAACTGAGAGTAATGAAGCCACCTAAGCTTGCGTGTGCGAGCTGCACTATGAATCCAGGGTCCCGAGTTTTCCTGCTCACGGTCAACACCAGTGACGGTTATTTGAGCCGGTCCAGCGCATCCCCTAGGTCGACTCGGCCTCAATTAAATACCTAGTTCAGTGTGTACATATCGCCACTGAGGAGGCAAAGGCGGGCAGGCGTGGTGCTGGCCACCCACCCCCTCGTCCCTGCTTTCTTAGGTGCTCACTAACAGTGTTAATGCTCTATGGGGGAATCTGTTTCTGTACTTCGAGCTGCCTTAATTAGTCTCCAATGTTACAAAACTGAATCAATGTGTGTTTAATGTTTTACGTTGTCCAAGACATAACGTTACACCTGTGGTGTTCTTTTATCGT